TTATAAAGATAAATTATTTATTATATAATTATATATTTATTTTAATTTTAAATTTTTTATAAATTATTTAGATGCTGGTATTCAAAAAAATCAATTTTTAAAAATTACAATTTTAGTAACTAATATTTAGTAATAAATGATAAAAATTCTAGAAATTGCAACTCAATTAAAAAATTATAAATATTCTAAACAAAAATCTGAAGATATACTTATTGTTCAATTTAGAGAATTTTATTTAAATCAAAATTCATTTAATGCATTTTTTTTATCAAATATTGATTCAGTCTTAAGTTGATGAAAAACATGAACAATAAGTTCACCATATTTACAATTACTTGAAATTAAAATTTTCTTAATTACTTTATATGTAGCAAGTTGTGAAAGAGTTTGGTCTATTTGTAGATAAATGATAGGAAAAGGAAACCAAATTTATCAATTGAACATCTTGAATCATTAGTTAAAATTTATTCTTATTATATTACTAATAGAATATCTAAATTAAATTTATATAATCAAGAACATACAACTGAAGATACTTATCAAGAATTATATAATGCACAACTTAATAAAAAAGAAGAAAAAAATAAAAATAAAATTAAAAATCATTTAAATATTGATTTAGATGATGATGAAGAAACTATTTAAGAAAATTTAAATTTATTAGAAATAATTGATTTAGAAAATAATATTTTTAAAGATAATAGTGATAATCAATTTATAAAAATTTCAGATAATGAAAATAAATTAGATAATTTTATTCAAGATTTAGAAAATAAAGAAGATTATAATCCAAATAAATTAATACAAAAATATTTTGATAATATTGATAATATTTATTATTATTAAAAATCAAATAATTAAATTTATTATTATTATTTAAATTTATATTATATATATAAAGATTTTTTTCTTAATATTAAGGTTTTTTTATCTTTATATATATAATATAAAATAGTTTATATTTTTAATATTAAATAATTTATAAGTATTATATTTTTAATATTATTTATTTATTTATATAAATATATATTTGTTAAACATTTTATTAAAATAAATTTATTTTATAACTTATAATTTTTAAAAATTTTGTATTATAGTTTTAGAGTTTTAGATTATAGTTTTAGAGTTTTGAGTTTTGGAGTTTTAAATTAAAACTTTTCAAAACTAGTTTCAAGTAGGTTTCATTTTGAGTACTAACTCTAATATGTACTAATACACAATTCATGATATTTCTATTACAGTTTAAAATTTTATGCTGAGACAATATATTCTATATAGAGAATATAATAAGTTAGAATTAGAATAAATTAGGTTAATAGATATAACAAATTTGAATTAATTAGGAAAGATAGTTCAAGGCTTTGTAACTGGATATGAAGCAAAAAAAACTGTAATTCTAAATCTAAGGCTTTTTTTACAACACTCATCTAATATCTAAAATTATTATTATATTTTTGAATTATAAATTATTTTTGGCAACTAAAATAATTTCAGATGCCAGAAATTATTTTGGCAACTATAAATAATTTTAGATGCCAAAAATCATTTTAGTAACCAAAAACAATTTTAGCAACTGAAAATAATTTTAGCAGCCAAAATTATTTATGGTTTAGGCTGCCTAAAATACTTTTAGTAATTTTCATTTTTAACAAGCCAAAAAGCAATTTAGTGCCCATGTATAGTTTGGATCAGGGCAATGACTATCTAATATAATATTATAATTTTTTATTATATTTTATGTTATATATAACATAATGTGATTCTGATATAGGATATTAATAATTGTATAAAAGAGATTTAGCTTAGATTTTATGATTATAAATATATAATTAAATAGTTTATATTTCATAAACTAAAAAAAAATAAATAAAATACATTTGGTTCTATATTTTATGCAATGAATAACTATTGGTAAACATTTATAAAAAACTTTTTTATAATAAATATATAAAGACTCATTAACCATCTAGCACAGCTGCACTTAAGAATTGTTTGATTATAAAGATAATTTTAAAGATTTTTTAAAAGTTAATTATTTATTGTATATATTAAATTAATTAAATATATATATGTATTTTATAATAAATTCTTACAGATAACTAGAGATAAAGATCAGTTATAAGATGATTAATTATTTGGTCACATTGATTATAACCAATTTAGAAATTCTGCTTGAGCATGATCAATTATAGGAATTTAATTGTTCACAAAACTTTGATCAATTATAGAGGTTTGATATGTCATAAATGTTTTATAACTTAAATGTAATACAAAGCACTAAATTATATTAATTAACTTCTTATTTAAAGTTTTAGAACTGGTTTTATATTTTTTTTTAAATCAATTAAAAAATTCTTTACCATTGTTATGTTTTACCCAACATGTGTATATTCATACTATATTAATAGCAAAATTTAAACATGAAATTCTTATCATTATATTTTTGCCTATTATTATTATTCTTTTAATGTTTCTAGTAAAGGATTTTATAATTTTCAATTCTACTGACAACTACATAAACAATAAATATATTATCCAATTAGTTCAAGATTTGGCTACCAGTTTATTCATAGAAATATAAATATAAAAAAAAAAAAAATGAAAATGAAAAAAAAATAAAAATAAAAACATTAAAGTTAGTATAAAAAAAAGACAAAAAAAAAAAAACCTTGAAAACATTAATTTAAATTAATATTTTATTTAATTTTTGCTTATTTTATTACTAATATTAATTTATTTAGAACATGAATAGTCTGTCAGCAACTACAAGAGTAATAAGTTTAGAAATATATAATTAAGAGACAGATTGCATTAAAATATTAAAAAGAGTTTGGCAGAGCAATGAAATTGATGAATACACATTACAAGATTATGCATCACAAGACAGTTATCAGAGTTATAAAACTGATGAATATAGGTTAGAATTAAACTCAGAGGAAGAAACAGTATCTACTAGTTTCAACTATTACTCAGAATCATCAATTAGTAAGCATGGAAAACATTCAAATAAAAAAAAAAGAGTGGCAATACCACTTTCAGTTTTATATTCTCAGTTATAAAAACAGTCTCCTGATCCTTTTCATAATTGTAATTTAAAAACAGCATTAGGAATAAGAAATGCATTTGATTTAATGTACATATGTGAAAAAAAAACACAAGAATTTCTGAATATGATAAGACTAATTCAGTTTATATTAATAATAAATAAGTGTTGTATAAGCATCAAAAAGTTAATACACAAAATGAATTAGTTGGACAATTAAGCAATATTTCCAAAAGCTCAAAAGTATTTAAATTTGGTAGAACTTTACTTTGTAGTCCTGTTTGAAAGTGTTTTGAAGAAATATATGTTGATAATACTTGGCATAGTTACTGTAATATTGAAATGTCAGATAAAAAACCTTGTAATACTAAAGTAAAGACTAGCAATTCTACAACAGCCTTATAAAGATATCTTAAGATTGAACATAAATATTCTGAAAAGACTGAGCAACAAGTAAGCTTTTTTTAATTAGTGCAATTAAAATTTTACCAATTAATAAAGCTTAATTTTTTTTTTTTATATTTAAACAAAAAACAAACAACCATTACAAAGGCATTTAAAGCTTCTTTATCAAAGCTATATAGCATAACTGAACAAGCCATTCATAATAGGATTATCATTAAAGTTATTATTTTTCAAAATCTTATATTTTCATTTACAGAAGATAAATATTTAAGCAATTTGCAAAAATTGTAAACTTACATTCAACTGTATCAAGTAGAGAAAAGATTAAGAGTCTAATTAATAAGGGATTTGAACTAATCTGCTCTCATCTGTAGAATGACTTATATAAAGCTAAAACTGTGTTATTAACTGCAAATTTATAGATGATGCATTTATGTAATAGTTATCTAGACATAACAGTAACATAGATTAATAAAATGTTCAAACTAAATGAAGCTGTTTTAGCAGTTATTTTTCTTAAATATTTGCATACCACTAATACAATTGTGAAATGCATTGAAAATATTCTTGAACATTGAAACCTAAAAAGTAGAGTTTTCTTAATTACAACTGATAATAAGACAAATATTAAATCAGCATATAATAAACTTAGTATTAAGTGGATTTCATGCTCTGCATATATATTGAATCTGATTACAAAAAAGGGCTTTTGCTTACCAAACTACTAATTACTTAGATGAAATGTTTGATTAAATTTTTATCACACCTAAACAAAATAAATATCTCAAGACAGTACAATCATTAATTCAAGCATAACATCAATTGAATAAAAAAAAGGTAAATTTAAAGTCAATCTGAAACTAGTTTTTTTTATTTCAATATTACTTCACTAACACTTTATTTTACTTACATTTATTTTACTAACAAGTTTATTTTATTGACAAAGTAATTCTAGTTATTGTTATTAAAATTAGGCTAGAATTAAAGTTAAGATTAATGCAGTTTTTTAAAAAAACTTGTCAGTAAAATGAGCCATCAGTGAAATAATTTGTCAATGAAATCAACTTGTTAGTGAAATGAGCCATCAGTAAATAATATGTTAATAAAATCAACTTTTTGGTAAAATGAGTATAAGTAAAAATATTTAATTTGATTAGATTGCTTGCATTATTATTATTATTTTATAACTAACAATTAATTTATATACAAGATGAAAATAATACTTTGTTGCAAGCACAAATTAATATTGTGACCTGTTGAAATTCTACATATAATGCATAAGTTTGAATGCTCAAGCTCAAACCTTATATTGATATACTTACAAGTTCATTTCATATTCAGTTGGAGAAAGATGCAATCACAGATAGAAAATATCTAAAAGCAATTAATTACTGAGAATAAGTGAAGCATAGTTGCTAATATAATTAAAATTTTAAAATCTTTTAATAACATAATGAATTATATTTCAGACAGTTCATATCCAACTATGAGCATTATTTATCTGATGATAAGCACTCTTTAGAATGCTTTACTGAAAGAATTTGAAGATGAAGATATTAATAGTGATTTTATAGATGAATAGATAGATATTAATACTAGTTCAACAAGTTTATTTGATGATAAAAAAGAATCAGATAAAGATGCAGAACAATTTAAGTTTCTAGTTGTTACAATAGTTCTGATTGAAAGTATTAAAAAAATAATGACAAAGTTATTTTTGAAGTATTATAAGATAAAGTTTTTAGAACATTGTAACTTAATATTATAGAATATGTATTACTTTTGTATTATGAATTTGTTTCATTTGAGGACTGGTTTAAGAAAATATCAGTTTGAAAATTTGAGAATTCTTTGATTGATCGTCAAAATGATTAATTTTTTATTAATCATTTTAATGATCAATTGGATAATTTTCAAATTCTTAAACTAATATTTTCTTAGATCGATTCTATTTAATTAATTTTATTATATTTTTTTTAATTTTGATATTAATGCTTTTTCTTTTTCTGAACTATTTTTCTATAAAGTAATATGTAACTTGTCTAATAATAATAAATATTTATAACAATTTAGTTTTCTGATAATGAAATATTAATTATCACAATGGCAATTGATCCAAAGTACAAAAATTATGAATATATGAATGCTATATTAATATGCCAAGATTGTCTTAAGTTGGAATATAACTGAATGATAAGTGATGAAAATTTGAAATTATTATCAAATGAAGTAACACTTGATTTATATGGATTATTTATATCAACAGTTTTTATTGCAGTTCAAAAAAATTTGATACACAATAATAAGAATAATCAATATCTTATGATAAAATGATTGGACCTTTGAATAATCCTTTATAGTAGTAGATAGCTCACAAAAATACTCTTTTGAGATTGACAGGTCTTATCTGCAAATACCTTGCGATCCCAGTTACTTTTGTCCTCTGTGAGCACCTCTTTTCACAATATGGAAATATAATGATTAAAAAATAAACTTGGTTAATATCACAAATATTTAGTAAATTAGTTTTTTGTCATGTAAGCCAAGAACAATATGACACAATATTTCTAAATATTACAAACTAACATTTGTTTGTTCTAAGATAATTTGATTTAAACCTTATATCATATTTAAGAAATAACATATTATTTATCAGATAATTTTAATATATTATTTTATATCTGTCTTAGCACATGTTATAGAAAATTCAAATATAGTATTCAGATAATTTATCTATTTTATATATTTAAATTTTGTTTAATATATGTCTAAAATTATTTTTAATATATTCTATAAATATGAAGATATTAATAATAAATTAGAAAGAATCCATAGATAAGTAATTGAAATAGAAATAAGTTTTTTTAATATAAGAAATATGAAATGATTATAAATGAATATCTATATCATTTATATATTAATCCTTTAGAGTTAATATATGAACATTACAAAAAAAAAAATCATGAAATTTATTAGATAAAATCTTGAAATTTTTTTTTGTATAGACCTTGTTATTTTGTTTAGATAGCATAAAATATTTGCTTAGTAAGGTCAATAAAGCTTTATACATATTAGTAAAGATGGTTTTCAGACTGTTCTAAATTTCCAAAAATATAAATTCAAAAATTCTCAATATTCAAATCTTAAGTATAGAAGTTACAACTCAGGTCAGATGTTATGAACTTTTGTAAAACTGGTATTTTATATATAACATGATGAAAAATTATGTGAAATCCAGTTACTGAACTTATGCAAAAATAGTGTTATATTATAACTTTGTAACGCTGCTCTAGTCATTAGAATAGCAAGTTTTATTTAACAAAAAACTTGTCATGATAATTCAAATGCAAACTAAATCGCACACTGTATCACCAAAATGGTGATTTAATTCTGTAATAGGATTATTTTTAGACCTTTGAAGATATCATATTAGTATCTTCATTTCTGATTTTAGCACAACAATGTTGGGAAGCAATTAGGGATGTTAAATCATTCAGCTTGAACTAGTTTGTCGCATGATAATTAGATGTAGCTTGAATGGAAGATTCGATTATTGCTTCGTTAAGTTCGCGAAGCAAATTTGGTAAAGGCCAATTTAACATTGTATATAAATATATTATTATATTCAAATAATCGATCTTTTTATTTATTAACGTATAAAAGAAAAAACAATTTTATATAAATATGACAGATCAAGGCATAATGATCGATCAAACCATCAAAGCTTTGATAATCGATCAAAGTAATATGACCGATCACGATATGGTGATCGATAGAAGTAATATGTTTGGTCAAAACATGGTGATCGATCAAAGTATCGATCTGTTATGCATATAATCGATCAATGACCGATTAATGAAATGTTGACCGATCTCCATCTCTACAGGTAGCATGGCTAAAACATATGAAATCGACTCAAAATACAGAAACAAATGAATATTTAATGGTATTTTAGTACACTGATAACAGAGGTCTTCACAAGTTTTAAAGAATATGTTAAAAGTATAACGGAAACAATTCAAAATGTGGTATTTATGATATCATGCCTTATGTCGCTCCCGGTGTTTATTTGAACCTTATAGGACAGAATGGAATCATGAAAAGTTTAGGTGATACAAATGAAATTAAATAGCCAAAGAATTTGCAAATCAGTAACGAAAATCATAAAAATGTGCATTGGCATTTTATACATGAAATATTAAAATTTGCCATGTAAGTTACAAGGAAAAAACTCCTAAAATTTCACCAACTTTAAGTTTATCTCTTCGTTCCGCAAACACACTATAGACCTTTCCTAAAGATGGTACATTTATCCGTGCGTACGTTCGTTGTAATCCATAAATAATGTTATTGATTATTTGCTGTGCCTCAATATTTTGAGTATCAACAATATAGAAAAGAGAACCTGATGGAAGTCGACCAAGACCTGGAAAAGGATTACAGCCTTGAAATGTACGAATATCTGTAGAAAAAAATATTATCTGTTAAAGATCTCCTCAATTAAGATAATATGCAATGATTAAATAACATACAATTCACCACAGTATTTTTTTGAACATTTCGTTGAATAAGCCCAGTTTCATTCCATTCAATTATGAGAAGAGGATCTCCAAAATAAGTTATATTATCATCATCATCACTGTCAACAACGTCTGAGATGTGTTTTGCTTGAACCATATTCGCCCATTCCATAATACATTGTTTGGTATCATCATTGAGAGAATGTAAGACAGCTGGCAATTTCATTTTCCTGTAAAATTGACTATTTTTAATCTTTTTCTCTTTCTCTTTTTTTTTTGAAAATTTGACCAAACAGAAATAATACCTAAAAGTCCTAGGAATTAATTGATATATAATCCAGATGGGGATTCCAAAGATAAGTATAATGAGAAAACTGCAGGTAATTAAAGGCGAAAAATAATATAAAAATGAAATAGAAGCAAACGTATAAACAACAGTAATAAAATTTATTATCCATTTGGTTTTTTTTTTAATTATGCGTAATCAACCTTACAAATTTATAAATACCCTAAGAATAAATAATTTGACTACTAACTCTAAAATTTAATACTCAGACCGAGTCAAGATAGATTAGAGGCGTTATCGTCCAAAAAATTTTTTGCGATTAATTTCATGATAAACGCCAGGTCACTAATTTTAGCGATTAATAAAATTCCAAATTTGGGGTCGTCTAAAGCGGAACTTTCCCACGGCGCCTATGGTGGGACACGGAATTTGTGATTTGATGTGATTTGATATGCGTTAGGGCTACCGTACAGCGTGGACTAAAATACCCAGGGTATTTTACAATTTAAGCTGTATATATGGGTATTATGGTCGGAGGGATACTATGGTCAGGGGTATAAGTTACACTATATGAGTGCTGAATCCATCTTTAGTACCCGGGATATTTTACATTCACAAGTGCATTAATCCGTCCTTAGTACCAAGGGTACTTTACATTCTAGGCCTCCGAAAATCGTGAAGGGTATTATAAAAAGGGGTCTTTTAGTCCACGCTGTACGGTAATTTTGATTGTAAAATAGAACTGATAACTTATAACTCTGGCCATCGTTGGCCAAGTTCAGAGTTTTTTGATCCCGAATCCGGACAAATGATCTGCAAACTCAGCCAGAGTTATGAGTAATCGGTTCTGCTTAGGGTTGTTAAATTTCATGTAATAGTAATTTTAATGCGTAATGATGACTATACTCCGATCAGGTGAATCAAAATGATTGGTCGATCAATATTGTCTATTGTAGTTTGTGCGTAATCGATAACAATGCATAAAGATGAGTCATAAAGTCAAGATAGCGTATAAATAGAATAAGGGGATTAGTAAGCTAATGTATTTTTTCCTAGTTACAATCGTTGTAATAAAGAAATTCATTCTGATTATTGAGTAATTGTGTGCCGTGGGAGAAGGCGTGGTTTGAAGTAAGAGAAAGGTGTTGAATAAAGGTAGAGACAAACCAAAGTCAAAAAATAAAGGATAACTTATCTAACATAGTACAGTGATTTTCAATCAGTTGGTGTGATTTAAGAGAAAGGATTTTGTTGATTTTGTTGGTGTTGAATTAAAGATAGAAACGAATCAAAGTTAAAAGTAAAGAATAACTTACCCAATGTAGTACAGTAGTTACCAAGCAGTTGGTATTGTCAAATGTAAACAAGATTGCAACCATTTTCTAATATACAGCATCAAACAATTCTGTAATTTTGTGTAAGTTTAAAGACATTAAGGATAAGAGAAGATTGTTGTTAGTATTAAAGGTCAAAAAAAAAAAATACAGTAAAACAAGAACACAAAAAATTATATATTATGCTATATTTATTAATCCACCTAACAATTATAACAATTAAAAATGTTTCAAATCAAAAATGATAATTTGTAGAATAAATATACAAGTGAATTGATGACAATGGGAAGATACATTACAAGTGCAAAGGGTGTGATAAAAAGTGGACAAAAAATGCAACTTGATTACAGAAACATTTGAATTCATGTATTTTGCAAAACTTAAATGAAAATTTTAATTCTAATAAAAAGCAAAAACAATCAATACTATATAATTTAGAACAAGAAGAGCAAATAAAATTAGAAACTTTATTTACATGTGTCTTTTTTACATCAGAAATTTTATTTAATATAATTGAAAATCCAGATTTTCATGTATTTCTTGATAAGGCTTGACCTTCTTTTAGAATTTCAACATGTCAGTCTCTTTTAGTTCACTTCTTAACAAAGAACATGCTAATCTGCAATTGGTTGTTCAGAATGTTCTTGATGAAGTATCTTACCATTGCTTAGTTAGCAATGGTTGGTCAAATGTTAACAAATTATTAGTAATAAATTATATAATAATTACACCTGCATCTATTTTCTATAAGTCTGTTTATATTAATAAAGAACATCATATAACTGAAAATATTGTCAAGAGGATTGATAATGTAATGCAAGAAACCAGAAGTAACAAGTATGTTAGTATTATTACTAACAATGCAAATAATATGAAGACTGTATAGAAAATCTTAAAAATTAAATATCTAGATAAAATTTTTATTGGATACTGGGTGCATGGAATAAATTTCTGAATTAAGAATATTCTAAAAAATGAGTGACAACACAAATTCTAAAAAAAACTAAAGAATTAGTTTTATTTTTTATAATCATTTAATTCTGTTAGCTACTCTTTATCACTTGCAAAAGAAAATATATAATATAGAAATAGCATTTGTTTTAACTATTAATACTAGATGAACATTAGTTTTTGAATGTTTTAATCATGTTTTTGTAGAGCTGACCAGCATTATATGTTATATTAACTAAAGATATTAAAATAAATAATGATATCAAAACAATAATTTTAGATCTTAACTTTTAGGAAGATCTTAAAATACTATATAATTTTTTAAAACCATTTATTATTTTTATATATAAATTAGAAAATGATAAGTCATATTTTTCTTTAGCTTATAAAATTTTACAAGAGTTAAAAAATATTATTACAAATAATTTTCAAATTTCTAAAGATTTGTGTAATGAAATCTTGCAATTTGCTAGAAATTGATAGATTAATATATTATATAATCTAGCTGTTATTGTTGCATATGCTCTTGACCCATAATATCAAGATAAAAATCTTGATTTTAAAATATAAGTAAATATTATCAATACTAAAATAATTTGAATTACAAGTATTAAGAATAAAAATCAAGTATTAAATTAATTATCTGAATATATTGAAAAATCTGAAGGTTTTACTAAAAAATATTTATAAAATAATTTTATTTTTAAACTAATTAATTGATAGAACTTATTAAGTATGCAATATCCAATTCTAAGCCAAGTTGCAAAAAAAATCTTATCTATTTCAGCAACTTTAGCAGCTAGTAAATACAATTAGTCAGCATATTCTAAATTATATAATTGATTACTTTTTCAAAAAGCTAAAAAACTTGTTTTTATATATTGAAATATGTTAATTCTTTATCAATTAAAAAGATCTATATTGGTTAAGAATCTACAAAAAATAATGTGAAAGTTAAAAAAACTTACATTATTAATAGAATGCTAGATAATCAAAAAGCAAATAATGATTCAGATAATGATAAAATTAAAGTGCTTGATGATAACAATATCACTAATTTTTCTAATAAGTTCATTAATGTACTCAATGATAATAGATACAAATTTGATGAATACTAAATTTTAAAAATTATTTTTTATTTTTTCATAATTGTGGTTTTAAAATTTTTTTTTTTATTGCATTAGTAGCTACTTAAATATTTCTTAAGAAATAATTCTTTAAATTGAAATATTGTAATTTAGTATAATAGCAAATATCAATTATATTTTTATATGCAACTAAAAAAAAGAATAAAAATAAAAATAGACTAAGCATAAATACTAGTAATAATGCAGTCAAATTCTATAATGCTAGTACTTTATATTATATAGTAAAATTACATGAAATTCAATTTTTTGAAACTTACATAAAATTATGCATATTGTAAAATTGTAATTTATATAATACAACCCTAGCTTTGCTAATTTAAATCAATCAAAATTAGCCTTCATGGAAGCTATTAGTTAGATAAAAATTAATACAGACATACTTCTCTATAATCACCATCTATATATCACAAACTCTATACAGTATAATTATCTTAAATTTTGAAAATTCATTAATAAACTTATAAAAAATACATCATAATAAAATTTTTATAATCATATATTTTAAACTAAGTGATTATAGATAAATATAACTGTATATAATAATAAGTAATTATGTTATTTGGTTAAAGATAGTAAAATATAGCTATTCTAATATCTTCTATAAAAAATATAGCATAACTTATAATTAATTCACAGAATCAAAGTGCAAAATCTAAATTTAAAATTTCATAATAACTCAGTATAGAGAGTGCTATAGATTCTTAAGAAAAAATAGAAATTTTTATGATCTTCCAAAACTGTCAGTTTATTATAATTATATGTACTAGCATAGTATCTTATTTGAGCAAGTTAGCAATGAGTGAATAAATATTAAGTTATTAATATTGTTGTATATTAGGTTATATGTAATAAAAATTAGCAAATTATATAATAAATGATTATTATTGTCAAAGTAATTAGAATATTATTATGAAGGCTTTAAATAAATTTTAATCAGAAATATAATTCTGTGAAGTAATAACAAGATTATATAATCAAGATATTTGATTTATTAATGTTTATATATTTTTGTATTTATGAAACTAGTATAATAGATAGCACTTTGTACTACCTTACTCATAAAATTAGGTCATTATGAAATTTGGTATCTCAATTTGAAGACATAGGCTCTACCAAAATTCATCTATAGTCTTTTACTAATAAAATAGCTATATAACATTGTCAAGCAAAACTAGAAACAGGAGATATAAGGAGTATTGGTATTGCATTTAGTAAAGTATTTATTTTGTCAAAATTTTTTATTTTGTTAAAAATTTACCTAATAAAAAATTTTTCCAACCAATTTACCATCTTATTAATTCTAACTTAAATATGAATATTAGTTTATACAGAAATATATTTTAAATAATTTTGCATTTAGTAAAGCATTTGTTTTGTTAATGTTATTTATTTTGTTAAAAATTTTTTAATAAAAAAATTTTTACAACTGATTCACTATCTCATTAATTCTAACTTAAATATAAAGGTTAGTTTTTACAAAAATGAGTTTAAAGAATTTTGCATTTAGTAAAGCATTCAATAAAAAAATTTTCCTAACTAATTCACTATATCATTAATTCTAATTTAAATATGAATATTAATTTTTACAGAAATGGTTTTAAAGAATTTTGCATTACTTGAATGTGTACTAGGTTCTTGATGCAGCAAAATTTTTTTAAAGCTTGTTTATGTTAGAATTAAAAACAGGTTTAGAAAGGTTTCTTATATTGATTTTGAGAAATAAGTAATTTTTAGCAAAATGTTTTGAATTTTTTGATCTTGTTAAGCTTATCTAATCTTGGAATCTGATTTATAGTTCAGGAAATTTGTGCTATAAGTCTGACCCAACATACATTCAAACATACAAAAATTTTGTTTATTTTACAAATCTGGAATACATCTTATACTGCAAATTTATACAGTTATATAATTGCATTACAAATTTTATTTCTTATATATATAGTAATATATATATAAAGAAGTGAGTATGTTAACTAATTGATAAGATATGTTAAGTTGTTCAAAAGCTTTAGTTAATAGGTTTATGTTAACAGAATCATAAGCTTTACTTATATCCTAAGACAGAATTCAGATATGTTTTTAGTATATTTGGCATTTTCAAAAAAGTTATTGAATATGTGAATTGGGTTGTTGATTGAGTTATCAAAAAGTATGACATAGTTATATAAATTGAAAATTTGATGTTTTGTTAATAAGAATTTTAGTACTGTAAATTCTCGGAATAGCAGGCATGGGCATTAATTCGAAAATCGCATATCTTAAAAATAGCATGTGCAGATTCGAGATAATGCCCATGCATATTCCAAAATAACGCACACCTCATTATACATTTATATCATGTCATGCAGTGTGAACAGTAATTTATTGAACTGACTTATATACACTCAAGAATATACATATTAAACACTAGTGTTTTAAGAATTGTTAATCTTTTATGAAACTCCTATGTAATTATACAATTAGATCTTTCTAAATGCACCTGTGGGACCAAGCTTTAACAATGTGCACTTAAGAACAATAAGAAAAAGTGCATTTATGGAGATCATGCATATGTTAGGTCTAATAATTATGCATTTATAAAGATTGAAGAGTGGATTTAGAAAGATTTCGTTATACTTTTTTTGTTAAAGTACATTATATATAAAATTTAAACCCGGTATTTTGTAGTAAGTTGTCTAATGCGAAAAAATCAAGCAAGAATTTTGTTTATTAGGTATGTATATGCAGAAAACATATTACTTGTCTAGATCACAGGAAATATAAACTCAACGTTGTTTTTACGTTTTTAGCAAAATTTTCCTCAAGGAAGCAGACAAACTTTGTGAAAATATATATAAGCAGCAAACAATTTTGTAAAAGTTTTCTCAATTTTTTAGAATTGGATATGAGATTTTAAGCAATTTCCCATTTGATACAGGATTTTGAGCAATTTCCTGTTGGATACAGGATTTTGAGCAATTTTCCATTTAATAACATAATTCCAAATTAATATTTCTTGGTGAATTTTTTTTTTTTTTTACTAAAAATTCATTTTTATTTCAGAATTTCTATCAGTTTAATGAACAGAGAAGTAAAAATAAACTACACACTTACTACCTTGTGGTAATAATTCTATCTATAATATAATATGTAGATCATTAACAAATTTCAATTCTATTTCCTGGTAATTTAGCATGTAGACAAACAGAGAAGTAATATTTAATGGATTACATTAATAATAAATTCATAGAATGTTTTACCTACTTACCATCACGCTTATTATCTGTCATGTATTCATCTTCCATATCTTCATCTATATTCATATTATCATCTGTATTACTATCTAAACCATTATCTGTATCATCATCCATCCCATTATCTGTATCATCATCCATCCTGTCATCTGCGTTTACATCCATCATATCTTTATCTCTTTCTTCACTTGATAACTCATCAATCTTATTCATCTGATCTCCAACAATTGCTTGTAAACAGTGCAATATTTTATTATCTTCGCTACCATCAGAGTTCAGAATGAGCCCAGTTGCTTCAAAGGACTTAGTTAAAACATCTTTGCTGATTTCCTTTCAATAGGTTAAGTTCAGTAAATTAGAATTTCATATAATCACAACTTTAAACACACGATAATTAACATAATTTTTGATTATTTAAAGGCTACAATAGTGAAGCTACAGTGTGAATTATTAAAGACAAAACTAATACAGGTTGAACTTTTGTAATTCTGATACTTTACACATCACATTGGGGCTTCCGATATATTAATTAATCAAATCTATGTATTGTAATAAAAACTAGTATATAGTGCAGATTTTATGTATAAGATAAGCAAAATCGTTAAATTTACTAGCAAAGACTAATGCCAACTATTTTTTCTTAGTCATTTATACATCAAACGATTATTTAATATAGTTAAACAAAGTTATAGTTTACAATACCTTACATAGATTTGGTTAATTAGTATATCAGAAGCCCCAACATCACATAAAAAAATTATATGAATTCTATTTTACTGTAAGATGAGTGCTGCCAAAAGAAATAGTATTTCGGGCTTCCAATTATATAATTGAGAGCCCAAAATACTGTTTCCCTTTACAGCACTTATATAAAAATTAATTTTTGTAATACAGCCATACCTTCCATGTTTGAGATACCCATTCACAAACCAATTCGTATAGTGCTTTACTGCGGTTTCCCTTTTGCAGTGAACTCTTTTTTCCTTTTTCCATCTATTCTTCCCATCTTTTTCGCATTCCACTTTTGAAAGGTTTATTTACTGAAAAATCAGGTAGTTGCAAAATACTAGTAGTTCCACTAGGTATTTCTAAAACGTCCAAACTTGCAAGTTTCAATGCTCTAACAACATCATCACGGATATGGCTATGATGATGATCGACAAAAATTACACCTTTATTTTTAAAAAAACCGTTAGGTCTCGCTCGAATGACCCATGGAATGTAAGTGGAAACCATCAAATCTCCTTTTATATTTGTATGGGGTGCTGTTGCTACTACAACGTCTCATGGAAACCTTCCCTTGGGTTTTTTTTTAAGCTTAAAAATTATGGCTGGCAGAAGTTTGTCACCGAAAGCTGTATAACCTAAAACCACAGTGAATCGTATTTTATCACTTCCTGTAGTTCTAATTGGCACCTCACGAACATCTTGAAACTTTCTGGGCATATCAAACCACATAAGGGTTCATCAAAAGAAATAATAAATTTTTTTTCTATGCTTTGAGTTTTTTTACGCACAATTTTAAGAAAATTTTTAACAACTAAGGGCATTTCTTCTGGAAACTTTTGCGCTATTTGTGTGCAAGTACGTTCTACCAGGTTGTGTTGATTTTTAAAACATACAAGCCAAACACATGAAAACTGGGCATCTTCAATACCAAGAGTTTGTCCTAACTCTTTAGCTTTGTTTCTAATCATAAACATTGTAACTGCAATTTTTTCCTCTCTTTTTTTTTTGATGTAATCCAATAGTTCATTTTCTAGTGCAGAGTACTTGGTCTTTTGATCATGACTTTTGAGGACTCGTGCCTGGTCCTTGTTTTTGACAGCTTCAAGCTTTTTTTTTTGCTTTTTCCATTTCTGAACTCATTTTTAGTCAATATTATAATATAATGATGCATAACAATTAGAGGTGTCTTCTGCATATGCGATAACCTCAAGTTTAAATGTGACAGTATAACTTTGATTTTTGCGAACTAAATCCATATTTATTTGTAAGTGATGTAAGAGATTCATTTGTGAAACAAACAAGTAAATTGCGCTTATATGTCCATAGGAATTGGTGTTACAAAAGAAAAAGGAACAAAGAAAAAATAAAAAACTAATGTACTGAATCAGCGCTGGTAAGTCTAATATTTTTTTTTTTTTAAAAAAAAAAATTCATAATTTAAAAAAAACCCTGAATTAAATGTTCGATTTCAAGCGTACAGTATAATTAATTTATTTTTTGAAAAATAAAATCTACATCATTAAGTAAATATAATGGGCCAGTGTTATTGTATATAAATTGGTATAATATATGAAGTTTACACAGCAAATACTTTAGCATTGGTGTTTCAAGAACAGATACAATTGAAGTTATATTCATTAGTGTTGGCACTAGAAGGCCACTAGAAGGCCACTAGAAGCTACTAGAAGGCCACTAGAAGGCTACTATAAAGTCGTTAGAAGTAAAATTAATAGTGTCAGTGGAACTTTTATTATTGCAAATTCTACTGGAAAGCTGGAAATTCCTACTGTAAGCCAAAATTGCCAACACTAAAGGTTCGTGACTTTGCGAGTTAAAATTGTTTGATGGTTGTGAATAGAGAAAAGAGTATAACAGCACTGTTCAAGGGAAATTAGCCTATTTATTTATTTATTTTTATCAACTGATTCAGATTCAATTTAATTTAAAGTTAAATAATAAAAAATATATATATATATAGCAGTGCATTAAAAAAAAGAACTTGTACAATGCATCAAATTTTTAATTGAGCCATGTATGAACTTGCACGTATCAGTACACCATGCCTGTTTTGTATATCAAAGATGTGAGCAACTGTATTAACCCCATTATGACATTTATTGGGAAAAATTTTTTATTTCCTGCTTTCTTAGAGAATATTAGGCCAAAAAAAAAAATTGGTACAAAAATTTCGCACACTTTTTACGCAAAATAGTAGTTGTAGAGTATATTTTAATTAGACTTTATATTGTTATACTACATGTATGTAAATAGTGTATACTGGTCAACACACGATAATCCGAAGTCTCTGGATTATTTATATTACACATTATTAAATTGGAAAAATTCAGATGATCGAAAATTCGGATAAAGTATATTTAACCATGTAATATAAATTCTAATACATGGACATCCAAATTTTGATCATCTGAAGTTTTATACAAATTCATATAAAACTTCAGATTATCAAAAATTCGGATGTCCATGATATATAAATTCTAATACATGGACATCCGAATTTTTGATCATCTGAAGTTTTATACAAATTCGTATAAAACTTCGGATTATCAAAAATTCGGATGTCCATGTATTAGAATTTATATATCATGGACATCTGAATTTTTGATCATCCGAAGTTTTATACAAATTCGTATAAAACTTTGGATGATCAAAAATTCGGATATCCATGTATAGAATTTTATATATCACGGACATTCGAATTTTTGATAATTTAATGTTTTATATGAATTTGTATAAACTTTGGATAATCAAAAATTCGGATGTCCATAATACAGTATATATAAATTCCAATACATGGGTATCCGAAGTTACTGTACGTAATTACTAGACATTACTAGCGCTAGTGTTTATTAAAATTAAATACTGTAATTAAATAATTAAATTTTATAGAGGTTGATATCTTTATTCTTCATGTCTTTTTTCTATATATTTTTCATGAATGTTGGTTTAAACACTCATCTTAACTATCGTTCTACTTTCTCTTTTACTTTCAATTTTCCTTTTTCAAATATCCTTTTATAATTAAAATTTATCCCTAAGTTTCCATATGTATTCTGATATTTTTTAATACCGTTAAGCCTTAATTGGAAGTATAAACATACAGTACATCCAAGTAAATCCAACTAATTGCATGACATGATATCAAATTTATACTCTTGATCTTTAGAAATTTTGGAGTTGGCTCAAAAATGCCTGTTTTATTATATTGCGTTATTTGAATTATAATTTTTCTTCAGATTCTCAAATAATAATATTTTTAATTTATGTTGTAAAGTGTTTTATGGAAAAGTCTTTAATTTTTCTAAAACTTAAAAGTTTTTAATTACCATCATTGTAAGATCAGTAATTATGATTACAATTCTAATAAAAGAAATTAAGGTTGCTTTTATGGAAAACATTGTTCAATATATAATACTATATGCATATAATTAAATAAACTATATTAATTTTTAACATTGAATAAAATATATCTTTTTTTAACCATGAACTAAACTGGCACAGAACTTTATTCCAAGAGCAAGCAATACTGATACAGTAATGAAGTTGAAAAGGACTTGTGTAAAGCCTTCAAATATTATTAAAAATTTGTAAAGATAGGCATGCTAGTAAAGCACTTGTTGCTGAATATTGTTATGAACAAGGAATTGGAGTTAAAAAGAACTTGTGTAAAGCCTTTGAATACTATCAGAGATGGAGCATTTGATGTTGAAAATTGTTATTAATAAGGAATTAGAGTAGAAAAGGATGAACATAAGGCATTTATTTATTATCAAAAATCTGCTAAGATGGGAAATGTAACAGAAATATGTAATGATGGAAATTGTTATACTAAAGGTATTAATATTGAAAAGAATAAATATAAGGCATTTATTTATTATCAAAAATTTGCAGAGATGGGGTACGCTAATAGGAGATATAATGTTGGATGTTGTTATGAACAAGGAACTAAGGTTGAAAAGGATGAACATATAGCATTTATTTATTATTAAATATCTGCAGAGATGGAATATGCTAGTGAAGCATTTGAGGTTGGATATTGTTATAGACAAGAAATTAAAGTTGAAAAGGATGAACATAAGGCATTTATTTATTATCAAAAATCTGCAGTTATAAAATTATTAAAAAAATATATATGCTTGATTATTTTTACTACAATAGAATTGAAGTTGAAAAGAATGAATATAAAACATTTATTTATTTTTAAAACTTACAGATATGGGATATGTTAATGAAATATATATGCTTGATTATTTTTACTACAATGGAATTAGAGTAGAAAAGGATGGACATAAAGCATTCATTTATTATCAAAAATTTGCAGAGATGAGACATGCTAATGGAACATATAATGTTGAATGTTTATCAAAATGGAATTGGATTGAAAAGGATAATCATAAGGCAAAAATCTGCTTCAATGGAAGATACTATTGGAACACATAATTTTGAATATCACAATTTGTTACTTATTATTACTTATTATACAAAAAACAATAATAAATAATAAATAATTACTAAACATAATCATTTATAATTTTAATTTGCTAACATCCAAATTTTTAATTTAGTATTTTTACAATATAATTATTGCATTGATGAAACTTAAAATTAACTAAAGTTTGATTCAGTCTGGCTTAATAAAAGCATTATCATCTGCATTTAAATTTAAGAATCTTATTAACATAAAAACATAACAGCTTATTATATATAAATTTATTTATATAATAAATACTAAACTTAATTATAATACAAAATTTAATCTTAAAATATTTATATTCAGATTTTGCTATTTAATATTTTATACGTATTTGTTTTAGAAATTTATAATTTGATTTTCTTATTATTATATAATTTATAATTTTTGAATATTTAATTTTGCCAATTAATCTTATACTTTAAATATAATTTATGTTATAAAATATTTTAAATATTTTAATTAGTATTAAATAATATTTTATAATTTAAAATTAAAATATATTTACCTTATTTATTTTAAAATACTTATTTTTTTTAAACCTTATTTATTTTAAATTTTGAATCTTAATTTAATTGCTGTGTTTTTATTTTTTTTTATATAAAGATTTAATAGAGTTAATTTCTAATTGAGTTATTTTTATATTATTAGGTGGATTATTTATAAAA